ATCAATGCAGTCATTTGGCAAAGGGCTCTACATTTCAGAGACAGAAATTTCAGAGCAAGACATCATTTACCAAATTATGCTACAATTTGGTGAGGCTTACTGAATGGACTCCAATGAATGTCTCTGGGAGAATGTCACGGTGTCATGCAGCTTTGTGTAACTTTGGGCCCTGGGGCTGACGAAAGAGTCCGGGTGGCCACTTTCCAGCTACACAAGCTGAAATACGTTGTTTGATCTCCCTGATATTAATCCTCATCTGTAAAATGGGTAGAGTTTCAGGACCTCCTGAGCATATGTTGTGAAGAAGGCTGATTATGAAGGGAAGAGATTCTGTAAAGTGCCTTGGTCATGCCCGTGGGAGCTGTGTCCCTGAAGAAATGCTTTCATCATGGCTTCCAGCACCCTCTGAGCCTGGATTTGCCTGGGGAGTCAGGGCAGGACTCGGCCTCTTTGGGTTTTTGTTCTTGCCCTCTCCCCGTCCCCTCACATACAAACCCTTGGTGGGCTTTGGCAGCAAACATCTGGAATAAGCTCTGGTTTTACTCTCCATCAAACAAGAATTGGGAGCAAAAACGGGTTTTTTCAGAAGAGAAATTAATCTCCTAAACAGGGTGATTTTACCCTTTTCTTTAAATACTTCTAAACTCTTGAGGGAGAAGCACAGCATGCATTATCCTTCAGAATGAAGCATCGGCCAGCGCCGTGGAGTTTCATTGACTTTAAGACGGCCTTCTGAGCGATAGGCTTTTTTCCCCTCTTTCCCAGAGCACATTTAGCAGGGATATTTTTCTTTAAATGGCCCCATTTCATTTGCATTTTAAGCTTTCACTGCAGAGAGGAAGCCACAGTAAATGGTTCTAAGAAGGTGGTTGTGATTCCTCCAAACCCAGAGCTGCCTGCCTGAAGCTTCTGAAATTGAGTTTCAGCTTCCTTCTGAGTAGAAAGATATTACTTCATATTTGCGCACACAGTTCACTGCTCTGCTCTGGGTCTGATAGTCTCATTTAGCCGCGGGCACTCTCCAGCAATGATTCATTCTCCCCAATAAAATTAAATATCACCTTTCTCCCCCACCCTCTTTTTCTTTTTTTTAATAAGACATCTTCTTGTTTAGGCTGAAGTGAGACAAGGTGAGAAACTGTGAGTTCTCCAATTCCTTTTATTGCTCCTTCTTGACAGAGAACAGAAAAAAAGGCAAAAGAGGAAGAAAATCTATAGCTGGAAGTCGGAATGGGAAGCCATGGCAAGATGCCAGACCCCTTTGCGTTTGTTTAAGATTGAGTCTGAAGTACTGAGAGTGGAATGGGGTACCGTTCTGTAGAACAAGGGACTGACACACTGTGTTATCTCCATGTTAATTCTGGAGTTTGTACCACTGATCCCAATCGCCCCATTAGGGGCCAAGGTCTACAGCGAAGTCCACAGGGCCACAAGGTCTTGAAACCTCCCAAAATGCTCCAGGAGGAAGCTGTGTGGAGTCCAGGAGGGGAGGGCAGGGAGCTCGGTGTAAAAAGAGAGCAGCTGCACCAGAGAGACGGTGACACTTTGACTGACAGTGCTCCTGGACGAAGGAAGCTGAGTCTTTGTTGTCTGAGATCCGGTTTACAGTGTGCAGCCTTTCCTCTACTGATTGGCTCTGCCCTAGAGTTCTGGCTTCTCAGAGCCTGGAACACGATGCACTTGAAAATGGTCCCGGATGGGGTGGTCAGCGTCTTCTGGTTGCTCACCCAAGTCCCCTCTGCGCGTGCTCTGCTGGCAGAAGTATGTGGCTGAGCTTTTGGTGCGACAGGGATGGGAGTCCATGGGGCGAGGCAGGAGACGCGGCACCAGTTTCTTCGTGCTCCAGAATCTTGAGCCCAGCGCTTTGGAAATGTAGAAACGGATCAGCATGTTTTTGGCATCTTTCCTTTCTACTCCTCTTTCTTGGTTGCCAGGGCCTTGTGTGGCCCTAAAGCAACATAATTTGTTACTGGAGGGATGGTATAAAAAGGATAATGGATGTACAGTTTCCTCCTCCTACTGAGGCTCTGTGATCTGTGGACAGAGGGGAGGATGCAGCGTAGAGATTCAGTCTGGTTCGCTTCCCAGGCACTCACACGAGTGAAGAAACCCTGGAGGGGCAGTGGGGAGCTGGGGTCTCAGACGACGGGAGAGGGGCTCACTGTTTCTAGACCTTCATGGATTTTAAGAGCAGCCTTCCAAAGAATCCACATTTTTATATGAATTTTCCTGATTTTTAAATGGTACCTAGGAATCAATCCTAAAATAAAGAAGCCAAAATCACTGTGGTAACCAAATAAAACCTAGCAGTTGGGCTGACTCGGCCCACAGGCCCCTGATTTGTGATCTCCTCGGCTTCATCTCGCAATTCCTACCCGGTCCTTCCTCCTGCTGAGCCTGTCGGTGCTCACAGGACGCCCCGCAGCACCCAGACTTCCTCCTCCTGCCTCCTCCGACTCCTCACCTTCACACCCACTGCCCTGGACCCACATGTCCGTGGCCTGCCCTGGAGCCTGGCACCTCCCGAGTCCCATCCAGTCTCTCCTGCCACCCCCCATCTTTCTACTTCTTTTACTCAATGATGGACATAATTTCTATTTTGGAACTCAGGACTCAAGGCCCTTCATCTCTTGAGTCCTCTCCTGCTTCATTCTGCTTCAGCCTCTGTCTTGCTGAGTGCTGCTCCTTGGTGTTCTGTCACATGTGGCTGGCAAACTCAGCCCCAGAGCTGTTTACCTATTGGCTTTCCCTGCCAGGGTTGCTGTGTGTCACAGAGCAGCCTAGATCTGTAGATTAATTTCCTTATAGCTGCCTGGTTCCCAGGCTCTGCTGCCGTCCGCTGCTGCCCTGGACTGTGGGTTGGTGGGTTGTTAGTTCTTCTCCTGTTCTGTAGACTAGCTTGTTCATGCCTTCATCATTACTCTCTTCTCTGATACCTGACCTTGACAAGGTAAACATTTGATATTGCTTTTTTCTTCACAAAGTAGGAACCAAAGATGGGAACATCTCCTCTTAGCTCACTGCTAACAAAACCTACAAAGACCTCCAGGGCCGCTGGGCTTCCCTCCTCTTCAATATAGTGGATGAGGAACCTAAGCTGTCTGTGTTTATGCCTCCACTTACCCTCTGAAACTTTTCTTTCCCAGCTCCTCAGCAGCCTGGCTGGATCAATTTGCCCTCTCTCTTCCCTGCACATTCACTTTGTCCCTCTCTTTTGTCTCTCTATTTTGGTCTCTTCCTTGCTGCAGACAACCCAGTCAGTAGAGTGTTAAGGACAGAAGCCAGATATCTGTGGGTAGAATAGAGACTGAGAAGTAGCATAGATGGATGGATAGATAGATAGACAGATAGATGACAGATACATGGAAGTGGCTGACTGAAAGGCGCCATGGCACCAGAAAGGAATTGGATATTCAGCATGGAAGGCTTGAATATGTTAAAATGTTAATGATATGGCCAGTAACTCAATCAGAGATCCCTACACAGTAAGCCCAGCGAACACCCTGGACCTCAAAGCTCAAAGGAGTTCTGGGTTGCTGAGCACATCAATACTCTGGGGAGCGTGGGAGCAGCTCTGTCTCAAGGTCTCTTCCTGACCTTGCCCAGTGAGTCTTTTCAACTAGGTGACCCTGAGTTACTCCTTATGATACAGCTTTAATCATAAGCACAGAACTTTCAGTTTTCTGAGTCATTCTAGTGATTTTCTGAACCCGAGGGGACTAAAGGAATGCTGGAATTGCTGGTCAGTTGATCGAAAGCTCAGGTGGCCGAGACCCCTCAGCTCGAGGCTGGTGACTATGGTGAGGGATTCTCACCTGTGAGGTCTGCTGTAACTCTGGGTCGTGGGTCTCTAGGAGAGATCTGTTTACAGAGCAGAGAGGACTGAGAGTCAAGGTAGACTGAGGCAGGGCTGACTTTATTTAGAAATAGTGTCTCTAGGTTTCTAGGAGGGATAGCAGTAAGGAGATAAAGAAAGGTTGTTCCCTTTTATGCCGGTCATACCTTCCTTTAACAATTTTTGTGCTTTTGAGTTCTTGAGTCTGTCCCTCTAAAGTTCTAAAATATTGTATATTTCTAGGCTGAAAAATATGACTTTTTCTTTTGTCCCCTAGAAAAGGCAGAGAGCAGCCCTGGAGGACAATAATGACACCATTTATGCTGGGCTCCCTTGTAGTTAAAATCATGTCAGCCATTTTGACCCCTGATGGGATTTATGGTGGCTTAGATCTCAGTCGGAGAAATGAGTTTCGGGCAGCAGACGGGAGGGAAAAGGTCTCAGACTTGGAGCGTATTATGTTTTCAAGATGGGGAGAAAATTTACTTGAGCTTTTTTTCTTCTTTCAGCTGTGAAGTCTGACTGTGCATATTCCATTACCCCGTCTTCACTCGGATGTCACTGGGTGCCCTTGCAGGGCTGCGGGGTGATGACTCTGCTCTTAATAACTGTTATGGTTTAGATCTAAAACGTCCCCAAGTTCTCATGCGTGTGGAAAGTGACTGGATCATGGGGTGCCATGGCTGACTTGCTGTTAGGAGCTGAGGCCTGCTTAGAAGTGGGTCACTGGGCTGTGCCTGGCAGGGAGCACCTTCTTCCCTGTCTCCTCCCTTCTGTCTCTGTTTCCAGGCCACCATGATGTAAGCAGCTTTCTTCCACCTAGGCCCTTGCGCCGTGCTATTTCTGCCTTGGAGCAGCTGCTGGGGACAGAATCCTCTAAAAGCTGTGGGGCAAAAGAACCCTCTCCTCCTTTAAGTTGTGAGTGTTGGGTATTTTGTCCCAGCACTGAGAAAGTGACCAAGACAACCACACAAGCTCCCATGGTACACGGGTGTCCTGCTATGTGACTGCTCACATCACCACCCTGGCTCTTTACAGATCCTCGCTCTGTGCTGCCTTTCAAACTCTGAAAAACCAGAAATGTCTCCATTTTATAGAGGAGGAGACTTAAGCTTAAACGGGTTGGCTCACAGTTGAGTGTCACAGGAGCTGGGTTCGCTGACCTGCTGCAGAGTGCAGCCTACAGGTAGGCAGGCCCTGAGCGGGCCGCTGGAGGAAAATAAGGATTAGGAACCCCCATTCTTATCCCTCCAAGGAGCATACAGTTAAGCCAGAGGAACTGACCATTATCTTCTGGTCAAGGTGATGGTTTGCTGCAATGTAGATGGAATAAGGCTTTAATTAAACACACGGCCTATTGTTAAATATGAAGAGGTGGCCAGGAAGGGTCCCCAGGAGGATTTTAGGTTAGATAGTTTGCCTCTGCTGCTTGAGGCTTCTCATCTTGGTATCTTGGTGCCTAGTACATCTTTTCATTTGGTTTATTTTGCACATAGTGGGCATTTGATCGGCATTTCTAGAATAAGAGAGTTGATGCCTAAAAGTCCAAGTTTTGCATATTTGAATTTCAAGGCAGCCATTTCCTGTCTCCAGGCACAATGGGCCCTGAACTCTTGGAAAGCTGCTTCTTAAGGAAACTTTGCTTTGGAAGGATTTGGCTCCCTGAATCTATTACCTAGTGCTTGGCCCCCGTTTTACAAAATAGACAAAAAGCCTTCAAAGCCCAAACTGACTATTTGTTGGTGTCACTAAGTGATGCAATGTTTTTGATTTAACTTCCCCAAAAGACAGGAGTGAAGTAGGCGGGCTTGGGTGGAAAGGTGTGCGTGCTCAGAGACAACACACTCATTCTGTAAGAATCCGTAAGATCTGCCCTGGTTTCTGGTAAATGCTAGCACAGGCTGGGTGGCTCCAGGCGGTGGAAAAGCACTGAGCTGCTTCCTCTCTGCCGCTGGGGGGGCAGGGCAGGGTGGGGTGAGTGGAAGGAGCACAGCACCCACTCTCTTCACTCCGTTTCCTCACGTCTCAGCTGCCGGGAGAAATGTCTGGAAGCGTTTTGAAGTCTCGCCGGTTCCTACTGCATTGCGGCTCAAGACTCGGAGGGTAGACCCTGCTAAGCACCCTCCTTCCCACTGCCACCCCACCCCAAGGCTCCAGGGCAGAGCTCAGATGGGGGTGCTTAGCCACTGCCTTCGCCTGGTGCACCTGCAGGCCGGCCCTCGCTATGAGCACGCACGAGCATCAGGGGAACTTCACGAGGGAGGCACCTGGTGCCCACTTTAGGCAGTGACTCTGGGAAGTCAGGTGGTAACGGTCAGCTAGTAAATGTCCAAGCAGCATTACTACTGCAGTTGCCTGACTTCATATCCCAAACTCATTCTACTACCAGGAAGGTGATTTGCTGGGGCTGGGCTGGGGAGCAGGGCACAGCCTGGCCAGGACAGCGATCTTCCTGGATGGGCTAGTGAGGCAGGCGCTGAGGGTGCCCGGCCTGCAGAGGCTGTGGAGGGAGGAAGCCTGGAGCTGATGCCCTGGGAGGATTGCTGGACACCAGGCTTACTGGGGCCCTGGAGAGCTAGCAGAGGAGCCTGGAGCCTTGTCCCTGTGTGTGGAGTTGGGGAACCCTCAGAGTAAACAGGCACAGAAACCAACCGAAGCTGTCATTGTAACCCCATAAAAGCTTAAGGGACAGCTGAAGGATGGGGAGAGAGGAACAAAGAGGCTTCCGTGTAGCTGGCTCGTTTACCGCCAGCTTCTTATTTATCGGGACCGTGTCTTCCATTTGTCAGGCTGTAACAATAGTCACTGTATGAGTAAGCAATTTTTAACGAGCTTGTTCCAAATGTGTATTCCGTTCTTGGGACTCTGCAGCAGCTTGGTAATTATTGCCTTCGGTGGAATAGCCAGGCTTTCATGTAAGCAATTTCACTTGGTTTGCCTTTTCCTCTTTGGGGCTTCCAATAAGGTGAAGGGGTAGAAAAATATAATAATACTAGATTTTTTTTTTTTAAAAGAGTGCTCATTCTATGCTAGACATTGTTCTAGCTGTTACACAGTCTTCTTTTAATTTTGTCCTAGTGTCACCTGGTATTAAGGTATTTTTACATCCTTCAGTTTACAGATGAAGAAACTGTGGCTCAGATAAGTTTCGTGAAGTGTCCCAAGTTAGCAGATAGTAAGTGGGAGAGATAAGATCTGGACCCAGGCCTGACAGCAGGCTGTGCTGTGATGCCCTGCTGCAGACGGGCTGGGAGGGCCCAGGCTCACTCGCAAGGCTGCGAGGTCATTTGCCACGTGGGCCCGTGCCAGAGATGCTGGAATAAGTGCTGGTGGCTCAGTAATTGTAGACAATTTTCTGGTCTTTGGCTTTCATGGAAGGACATAGGACAGTTGGAGAACTCCCTAAACTTGTTGCTGCCCATAACACTCCCTTCTGCCTTGGCAAATGACAGTTCCGTCCGTCTCACAGCTCAAAAATATTGCACATGGTGAGCTGGCCTCATCGTTGTGACACGCACTGTTAGTCTGCTACTCGAATACCCACTGCCTTCCCCTCGGCACTGAGCTGCTGTGCGTCCCTGTGTTCAGACCCTCGCTTCCCCACCATCCGGCACCCTGCTGCAGGTGGCCAGGGCTGTGGCACCCGTCACTCGCCCGGGCTGCTGAGCCACGAGGGACGCAGGATGTCTGAGAGCACGCCGGGTCGCTTCTGGGTTCTGCTCAGCCACCTGCTTGCCCTGTGACTTTGGGCTGGTCACTTAACCTCTTGGAGCCTCTGTTTCCTCAGTAGTAAAATGGGAGGAAGGAGAAAAACGTCTTCCTGATGAGGACTAAATAGAAGGATGCACGGAAAAAGATCGGCTCAGTACACTGTAGCTATTGTTAGCATTCTCTCAGCTCCTATCTACACCCTCAGGTAAGTACTGGGGACCACTATTAAACTGCTCCAGCCAGTCAAGTGTGCCAGTAGTCAGGCTGGCTCTACGACCTTGTCTCTCCCTGATTGTCATCTCTGGTCTCTCTCCATAGGACAAACACTTAGCACAAGCAAAGTTTGCTTTGGAGAAAGCTCCTCCGCCTCCCACTCTTCCTATCCTCCAGTGTGCACATGCCTGGTGACCTCCCGCCAACCCTGGCCTCCCAGCCTGCTCGTGGAGCACCCCAGCACCCCGCCACCCTCACCTTGTGGTTAGACAGAGCCAGCAGGTCCCTTACAGAGACAAGGAAATTTGCTGTTTGACCCACCAGTGAGTATGTTTTCCTCTAATTAGTTGGAAAATCGAACTTGATCTATGGAGAAGCCGGATTTATAGCTTGTGTTGCTACTGTACTGCCCGGGCTTGGGTGGAATGGGGGATGAAATCAGCCCGGTGGGGGCTTGGATGGACACCAGGCCGGCTTCTATGTCTGTGTTGCCTGTGAGTTTCAGGGCACGGTGAGCAAGCCTGCCGATAAAACAGCCCTTCACAGGCGGTAGAGATGCCCTGGGGACATGACTGGAGTTTTTCTTTGTTCTCCACCCCAGTATGGAGGTGTGCTGAGGCCCCTCTTCCAGCTAACTTCCAGAAAAGCTTCCTGTGCACTCTGGGTCCTCAGTTCGACGGTGACCACCACACCCTCCTCCCCCCAGAAAAGCTGTTTCCCTGCACCGCGCTTCTGACCTTTCCTTTCTGCGCCTCTTCTGCTGCTGACTTCTTTTGGTTTTACTTTGCTCCCCCATCCCTTCTGCTTCTGTCTGTTGCTGTTTCCTGCTATCTATTCACTCTGGCCTTCTGTCTTCTCTTCCTCCCACCTCTGCTCTGGCTCACATCTCATTCTCTGCCTAATTTGCCCCTCTTCTCTGGCTATCTTATTTTTGCCACTCCTTATGCCTTTTCTCCCTCTGATTCTGGTTCATAATATCTTGAAAGAGCATTTGATAGCGTTTGCCTGACCCTGCCTGACATCCGGGAGTGATTCTCCTCAGGCAGCTTTTGATGTGGTCTGTGTGTGATGGATGAAAGCTGCTCAATTTGCTCTTCAAAGCTCGGTTTATGGAGAGCTTGGATGCATCTCCTCTGATTTTGCTCTATTTCTCCCACTGTAAACAAGTCCAAATTGCAGGAGAGAACCAGGCCCCTTTCCATGTGCTCATCCTCCGGCCCCTAACACTCCCAAGGGAAGAGTCGCGTTGTACATATCCGTCTTTTAAAACCAGGCTCCTTCCTGGAGTCTTCGGAATTTTAATTTGCATGCGACCACTGTGAGCCTGAAAAAGGACATTTAGATCTGGACACTGGGTGAGAAAATGGAGGAAAATGCTAATACTGTTAATACCAGAATCAGATCACATGAGGTACCCTGGCTACTGAGAATCATTTTCAATGAGTTGCTTTCATTTTCAATTCCTGGCTCTGGCAAGAGCAGTGGTTCAAGTCCTTTCCAGCACTAATCACTCTGAATCCCCCAAATGCCCAAAGCCTGAGAAGATGAAGTGTATTTTTACCTGGCTCAATTTCCTGTAGAGCTGTTTCTATCTTTCAGCCTCAGAAGAGGATTTAGACACCTGCTGTAGATAGCCAACACATTTAGCTCAGAGGAGCAATGGACGAAGTCGTATGTCAGAGCTCATTGTAGTTCTTAGGTTCCCTGATGCTGAGAAGTTAGTACTTTAGGCATGATATACACATATTAACGGCAAGATTGTTGTCATGCTAGAATACCTGAGTTTAAATGAAGATTTGGACAAGTAAGTAGAATGATCTCTAGCACATAAAAATATTGTTATCATGTTTTGTTCCCCCAATAGCTTTACTGAGGGACAATTTACATATCATAAATTTCAGCCATTGCAAGATTACAGTTCAATGATTTTTAGTAAATTTATAGTTGTGCCACCCTCACTGCAATCTTTTATATCATTTTCAGTAGTTTCTTTTACCTCTTTCTCTATTTCTTTCTTCATAGTAAAACTGGATTTCTGTGCTAGATGGATTGTGAAAGTGACCATGGTCCTTCAATCCACTGCAACATGACTTTGTTGCTCCTTCTGTTGAGAGCCGGAATTGATCTCCTTAGCCCTTGAATTTGGACCTGGTTTTGTAACTTGCTTTGGCTGATGGAGTGTAGTCTAAGTGCCAGTTCTGAGCATCAATCTCGAACGGCTCTGCATGTTTCCACTCGCTTTTGGAGCTCCGCTCTCTCACCTAGGAGTGTAAGGTTGGGCTATCCTGTTGCAAAATGAAGACTGGCCGAAGAGCACCATGTTGGGAGTTGTGAGGAAAGCAGAATTGAAAAATACATAATATAACTCCTTAAAAGTCCACAAAATATTTACACAAACAGCTAAAATGCACGACAGTCTTTCCTGTTGTTATAATATTTGTGTTGAAGCAGTCTCTCTCCATTATGCAAGTAATAATATTTTCCATTTCTCGACATGTTCCAAAATGTGATCGTGGGATAGGGTTTGTTGGAAACGCCCCTTGGCCACACTGACCCAAACTGAATTTTATCGGTATATCTAAGTACTGTGTTTGAATTACAGGAAATAGTCTATGTGGTAGCTTGTGAATGTTTCCTGTAGCTAAGGAAACAGAAAAGTGGAAGTAAACTCAGAGCCAGGATGGGGAGGAAAATGGAAAGAGAGGGAGAGGTGGGTGGGAAAGTCTTACATTCTAAAGTGACCTGGAGCGTTCATCCCAAGGATGCCTGCAGAGCAGGGCGCTGCCTTAGCAGGTGATTTCTGCTCACTTCCAGAATATTCTAGAGGTTTGGGAGGCTGGGCTTTGGCTGGGAGGAGAGGCGGAAAGAGGTATCCAGGAGACAGGGCTTCTGGCACCAGAAGTCTGGCTGCTGATCTCCAACAGATTCTCTGAATTCGTGCGTCTTCTCCAGGAAGCAATCTGACAGCACAGAAGAAAGCACTTGGGTTGGGAGCCAGGGTCCTGAATTCTAGTCCTGACAGTGTGGAGTACTTTCCCTTCCTGAGGCTTGAGCCAGGTGATTTCTAAGGTGTCTTCTCATTCAAACCAACTGTAACTTCACGTCTAATTCACTCACCAAGTTGGAGGAGGAAACTGAAATCGGAACGCAACAAAACAGATGAAAAGAGCACCTGACATGTGTAGGCCTTGGAACGATGGAGCTGTCTGGAAAACCAAAACAGTGTCCTTGGGGTCACCCAGCCTGGTCCTCATTTCATGGCACCTTCTCCCTTCTCCACAGAGTGTACAGAGTCCGCTGGGGCTGTCCCCAAGGGCTGCAGAGCGCCTGGATGCTCTGGACCTGTGAGGAGCCCTGGCTGGGCTGCTGAAAGCAGCTTCCACGTCCTCCTAAGGCAGGGGTGTCCGAGGCTTTTCTTCAAACATTCCTGGAGGTCTGGCGGAAGGCACAGGGTTGAGAAAGAGAAAACACCTAGGATGCTCTTCCAGCTACCTTCTTGGAGGCAGGGATGAAATCAGCATTCCCAGTACGGAGTGGGGTCTCGTTTAGGGTGACAAGTGTCAACTGTGTCAGGGACGTTTCTGAGACCCCTCTGGGGGAGAAGCAGCTGTTTTCACCTCCTAAGGGACTAGGAGAGGCTGGGAGGGAAATACCTGGCTTGTGCAGGCTGAGTCACCAGGAAGGGACCTCTCTCCCCTGTTCCTGACTGCAAGCTTTCAAGTCAGGCCCTTGGCAGGCAGCAGCTCACCAGGGAGCCAACATGAAACAGACAGATGCCCCTCTCTGAGGTCATTCCACTTCCAACTGGGGCTGCTGCCAGCGGGAGGCTTCTGTTCGCCTGAAGGCAGGGCCACTGCTCTACCAGAGTCCAGGGACCATGTGAAATCCAACTACATCACAGAGAAGAAAACAGAGGCTGGGCATACTTGTCATCCCACTGCTTGCAGGCTGAGGCAGGAGGATCACTGTGCAAGGCCAGCCTGGGCTACATCCCAGGTTGAAGGCCAGCCTGAAATACATAGTGAGACGCTGGGTCAAACAAAACAAGGCAAACAAAAGGTAAATGGAGTGCAACCAGCCTTACTCAGGGTTATCTTCCATAGCACCGGCCTCTGGCCTGTCATTCCCTCTGGCATCCACACTTCCGACCACAAAGCAGCCTTTCCTCCGGCTCACAGTCTGTGGGTCAGAGGTCTGATCAGGGCATGGCAGGGACAGCTCCACACCTGCAGCCTTGGTCCAGAAGACCTGAAATTGGGGGGATTCGAGCTTGTGGGGGGCTGGGGTCATCAGGGGCCAGTCCATCCGCAATCCAACCTTCCAAGAGTGAGGTGTCCAGGACACTCAGACCCTGCTGCTGCTTTTCCTCCCTGAAGTGGAAGGACAAACCACCAGAAGCTCTCTGGGTAAATCTGATCTTACCTGAAATGACCTCACTTAAAATCAATTAAAATGGGTCCAGTCTTGTGGGTCAATGGGAGAAATAATGAGAGTGACTACATGCATCAGTCCGTCTAGCTAGAGAGGCTGGGTTCCCAGAAAAACACAGGAATGCCAACGTGTGTTTCTCCTTTAAGAAGAAAAGAGCACTGGGAGGGCAGAGTGCTTGCCTAGCACACGCAAGGGCCTGGGGTTCCATCCCCATCCTGAGAGGGAGGGAGTGAGGGGGGGGGAGAGAGAGACAGGCAGAGACAGACTGACAGACTGACTGACTTCCAGGCTCTCTTGCAGGGAGGAAGCTGCCAGTTGGAACAATGTACCTACGGGGAAGGGCTTCTGCAAAGAGACTGCAGCTGGCAGGGCAGACTCCCTTGCTCTGAAATGATCTTGCTTCTTTTTCTTTCTGTTTCACAATTCCCCGTGCAGAGCCGCAGCCCTGGCGAATTAGCTCTCTGTGCCCACGTGTCAGCATTGTAGAACAACATGAACAACATCCCAGTAACACACGGATGGTCCTCTCCAATCTGCAGATGAGAAAACTGAGGCCCAGAGAGCGAAGTAAGTTGCCCAGAACACACCACGAACAAGTGGGCAGTCCAGGTCATTTCCCCGCACCCTGAACACACACAGCTGTGTATCAGGCTTCGAAGAGGAAGAGATGGATGCAATACGTAGGCTCTGGCCCGCAAGGTCAGAGTCTAGGGAGGAATCAGGGCATTGGGTGGCGGTGTGGGAAGAGCCCTGAGCCGCCAGAGGACATCAGGGCGGCGTCAGAGAGGCTTCTTCCGCAGCCTGGAGGGCGAGCCAAGACCTCCTGGAGGAGGCGCTGCTGGGCTGTGTCAGGAGGAGCAGGAGGCAGTGAGGAGGAGACGTTCAGAGAGGCTGTGGTCTCTCCATGCTGAGGATCTGCTGTGCTCCACTTCTCTTAGTGGCCTTGGGGGAAGTTGGGCGGAGGATGGGCTGGGAAACCAAAGTGTACAGCTAAGGCAATAATTACTAAGAAAACAGATCTGTTCCTAAGGGATACTCCCTAATTAGGCCTCACCACTTGGCTTTCTTCTCCTGAAGGCTCTTGGGATCTGCCAGGAAATACCTTATCCCATAGCCCAGGCCTAATGCAAGGAGCAGGACTTTCGGTCTGGGTGGGAAAGCCCTGTAAGAAGGATAACTGTGACCAGATAAGTGAGGGGGAGCGACACGGAGACCCCTTCTGGTGTTGGACCTAGGATCATAGGACCAGGGGCCGGAAGTACCCTTTGTTCTTTCAGGAAACTCAGCTGAAGATAAGAGTGATGTGCTCCAGGCGGTACCTGAGGTAGACACGGAGCCAGAGGAGAGGCCTGTCTCCTGACCCTGCCTGCATCTTCTGCACACACGTACCTGCACCCCTGCTACGGTGCTGCCCATTGCCACATGTTGAAAATACTGCCTAGTTACCTTTTAGATGCTGTTACAGCTATCTTTCCTTTCCTTAGAGAAGACCGCTGAAGGACTGCATTGCATTGGTATTTGCAGGCTCAGTGCCCATCACATTGTCTAATATAGAATCTGCACTAAGGAGGTCCCTGTAATTATCTGCCCTCCCCTGCTCTCCTTCCTCCCTTTTCTTTCCTTCTTCCTCCTTCCCTCCCTTCTCTCTCTCTTTTTCTTCCTTCTTTCCTTCCTTCCTTCCTTCCTTCCTTCCTTCCTTCCCTCCCTCCTTCCTTCCTTCCTTCCTTGGTGCTGGGGATTGAACCTCAGTCCTCGCCTGTGCTAGGTAAGTACTCTACCACTGAGCTACATACCCAGCCCTTCCCTGTAATATTTATATCCTTGACTGTGCACACTGAAGCCCCCATTTCGAGTTGAGATTTGATAGAACACTTGGATTTCAGGGAGATCTCATGATTAACGGGTTTTCATGTCCATTACCTTGTCCTGGCCCCTATTCAAATACAGCTATTCTTCCATTTTCCGGGTTATTTTTTGCATTCTCAATTTTGACAGTTAAATCCACCCATTTAATCTTTGCTTTATTTCTCGGTTTCAGGAGATTATCTAGCATGTCTAATAGAGCAACAAGTCATGTCCCGTGGCTCCACGCCTGCCATTCCACAGCACACCAAAATCAACCACAAGCCTGTGCTGCCAGCCTCACCCATGTCAAGGGTGGAGATGGGGCCATTGCTCTCGCCCTGTGTTTCTGCAGCCCTCTGTGCTGTCTTCACCACAGGACTGGAAGCTCTGGGGGGGCAGTGCAGAACTCATTTGACTTGGGCACTATATTGGACACTCAGAATTTACCGTAGTTCTGCACAGAGCAGGCACGCTGTGGGCATGCGCAGAAGGAAGGAATAAGTACATCAGATGTTAGACTGTGTGCATGGGTGTCATGTAGTTTAGTGAATTTCTGTGGCGATACGGTGCTCCCATGAGGTCAGGGATCCACAGATTGGAAATCATGGATTTACATTTACATTATGTGCCCAGTGTTTTGTGCCATGTTCATCATAGAGAACTTTGTGTTCAGTAGACCACAAACTCGGCTCTGGGGGCAGACAATTGATGGCAGGGCCTAGATGTCCTTTCCAACATGGAAAGTCCAAGGAGAGGACAGAACGCTTTGCTTTCAAGAAGGCTGCAACTTCCTGACGCCCACGGGACAGGCATGCTGATGACAGCTTCTCTCAAGAGCCAGCTTCTAACATTTGTAGGAGCAAAACATAAGATAATCTGCAGGAGCCCGTAGGCAGTCTGGTTGTTATTTCAACCCAAAACAGGCCTGCAAACTTACTTTGCCTGTTTCCTCTGTCAACGTATTTGTGTGGAGTGTTGATAACCGAAGTGACACACAGTAAATAGCCTTTGTTTTGTAAGACATTTGCTGTGAGTGGGGTTGAGCAGGGAAATATAGGAGTTGAAAGAAAGAATGCATGGTCTAAAATATGTGCCTGTGTATGTGCCTCACAGTGTGTGTGAACATTTAAACGCCGACATCTCTCTTCCCTCTTTAGTTAACAGCTTCTTTGCTTGATGCTCCCGGTTCCTTTTTATAGTCTCCAAACAAAGAGGAACCTATACTCCAGGTGTGCACAAATCAAGCAGGTTTCCTATTTAAGATTCAGAAATTCATAGCCCTGAGGAAATGAGTTAAAGAGAGGAGAGGACAGAGCAAGAGACATGAAAAACAGAATCTTCACCACCTGCTATTTAGTGATTAGCTCCCCGATAAGCAAGGCAGAGAAGCATTCCAGGAGCTCAGGGCTTGCCCAGGCAGGGCTCAGAGAAGGAGGTCTCGGAGACAGAAGCTGGGAGATGGAGGGGAGGAGGGCTCCTAAAGCATCTGCTCTCGCTTCTCTCCCCAGCTCCTCCATTTCACACAGCTCTTACATATTTGAGTCCTCTTTCTATTCCCCTTACCTCACCTGCCTTGGTGTAGGGAAGGGAATCTGCTAAAGACTAGCTCTGCCACCATCTGGCTGCGTGACCTGAGCAAATCACTTGCCTTCTCAGATGCAGATCTAGTGGCTACAGTCTCTTGAATTGAAATAACTAAATTCAAAAGCATATGAAAAAAGCCAAGGACAACAACCCCACCTCCTGATTTTAAAAAAATTCCATAATGCTGGGCAGCAGGAACCCGGAGAGCCCGTGGGTGAGCTGCTGCCTTGCCCTCCAGCTCCTGCCCTGCCCTCCAGCTCCTGCGTGTGTGCACACTCACCTGCAGGGGGTGGGGGAACCATTGTGGAAAGCGTGCACTTACCAGTGCCAGAGAAGCAGGGTACGTGGTTATGGTGCCTGCCGTTCTCAGGAGAAAGGGTGAAGACGTTTTCTGCAGAGCCTCCCTTTGTGTGCACGGCCCTTGTGGCCACAACATGGCCCCAGGTTCTGGACAGAGGGTACAAGGAGCCGTGGGCTTGTTGGGGCTGCAGGGCCTCTTTCCCCATTAGCTGCCCCTGCTCCCTTTGTTCTTGGGGTGCGTGTGTCATATCCCTGACAACAGCCCTGTGTTCAGGTTTTCCAGTGTGGTAAAGTCAGTGCTTGGCCTTCTGGCCCCTAGAGTAGGTACCAGGAGCCATCAAGCCTGGAGAGATACAAGCCTGGGTTACTTATTCACCCCAATTTTCATTTTGTATTGTCTCCCATAAAAAAATAAATGTGGAGCCATGAACAAGTATGCTAACGTAGAACATAAATACTCTGGTGATTAAAAACTGGAAATCACCAGCTTTGAAATTTCTCAAAAAATATAGCCACAGATGTCACCCAAATGTCAGTCACACACGGCTGTAAAACCCAGACTGTAGACATCGCCTTGTGAAGAGATCCCAGATGCAGCCGCTGGAGAAATTCTCACAGCTTAGACAAGCTAGATTTCTGCTTCAATTCCTTCTTCCTGTCTTTTTTTTTTTTTTTTGAGGGGAGGGGAGGGGTTGTACATCAAACTATTCATTTCAATATGTAATTTGCCTCAAAGAATTTATTTCTGGCTTAATTTATTTTCTCACCAACCTAAATCCAATTCAAAAAGCATTTCTTGAAGCCTGAACAATCTGCTTTTGGTTGACGAGTGCTAATAGGTGCAATGCTACCCTGTCAGCTTATGAGGACACCTGCTGAGCTCAGAGCCACACAGGGAAAAATTAAACTAGAGTTTGAATTTGTTTCCATCTGAAATCTTGAGTCATAGCTGGACATGTATGAGACACAATGAGAAACAAATTGCATTGTGGATTCATTTTTTGTTTACAAAGGGAAAGACTTAAAAATTCCAAGTTGGAAGATGTTCACGCCTTGGATATGCCTGTATGACAGAGGGAATATATCTGCAGGAAAGAATGAATGATGTAAAAAAGCCTTTTTTCAACACCTCTTTGCTAATTCTTGGAGTAAACAAATACTTCCAGTAAAATATGACTCTTATAATTGGTTTTGGATTCTGATTTTCTGATTTCTTTTTTCCAGGCCACCAGCCTCTCTATTCTTTTGGGTTGCATAGATGGGTAGATTCCCCGGAAAAACTTAACAACATGGTACTATTTTTAGTTTGAGAACACTTGATGAAGGTCTTTAATAGGTAGGAGGCAAGAGTCGCTGTGTGTGTGCACACTTCCGTCCGTGTCTGTGTATAGCACTGAAACTGAGCGTCACTACTAATCCTTTGTGCTGGGGATGGAACCCAGGGCCTTGTACATGCTAAGCACAAACTGCCACTGAGCTACCTCCTCAGCCCTACTAACTAGATCCAGAATGAATCAGATGACATGGTCAAGAGGGTTGGCCCAATACCGCCTCTTTCTCTCCTTGATCTGAGCTTTACAAAGAGAATGTCACCATTAAACATGAACATTCTGGACATCACTGGCCAACAGTCTCCTGGTGGAAGATGATTTCTTCCTCTGACTCTGTGCAGACCATTTCTCCTACATCTGTAAGGCCCAGAGTCCAAGTTTTCTGTGCCTCCATTCATTGAGGTACGCCGTAGGGAACAGTGGAGTGCCACCTCTGCCATCCAGTCCTCCAGGCTACTACAAAGAACGGAGCGGTTGAGGCCCTAACCTCACGGGGCTCACTTTCCTGTGAGAAGACAGTGAATAAACAAAATAAATAAGATAATCTGAACTCTCAGCAATTATCATGAAGGTTGAAAAGGCAGAGGGATGTGATGGTCAACAGCTGTGTGTTGGCACTATGTGGGTAGACAGAAGAGCAGTGTCCCCTGAGAAGGTGACCGGGGATAGCCAAGTGGCCAGAGGTAGGGGCCATGCAGGGGAAAGAGCTGCACGGAGGAGAAAGAGGGAAGGGCAGCACCCAAGAGGGCCAAGTTTGGCATGACCATCCATCCTATGGAGGAGATTTTCTTGACCTTTCTGTAAACAGGTGGAAGATTGTCTTCTGATGGGGATAGACATGAGGACCCAGAGTACTTTATTAAGGATGGCTGGAGTATTGCTCTCATATGAGGTGGAGGATTTTAAAGTTGAAAACGTCAGGGCTCTGGCCCTCTTTGTCAAATATAGGTTATGTACCAATGGAGAAGTCTGTTCTCTCTGACTTCTGTTTCTTCTTGAAATACGGATGTTGGATTGGGGGATATTAAATTCTCTTTCAGGGCAGACAATCTCTCAGCTATCTAAGGATAGAGGCCAGAGGTGCCTTTCTCTGCTGAAGAACATTGTGTTAACGTGGATTCACTTATTAGAGTGTCCAGAGCCTAACCTTGGGTGGAAACCTGACGGACTCCTCCTGGAGTCCAAAGAAGCCATGGTCAGACACTAACGTTTTCATCTCCATGCTCTGACCTGGGCTGTGCCATTAGTTAGAAGGGAGACCTCACAATAGGCAGCCACAGGAAGCCCCACCGGCAGGACAGCTCTCCCAGTGCACACTCGCACAAGACATCGTGTCTGTGTGCAGCTGTGTGGGATGGCAGGTCTGATGGCAGAGAAAGGCCAGGCGGGTCCCAGTGTCTTACCCTTCAGTAACCGGTGATCTCACCTAACAACGTTCTCTGGTAAAGGCGGCTCTTTACTGTGATCCCTTGGCTTCCTGGCATGGCAGCAGCCTGTAAACCCCACAGTAATAAGCAGAGAAGCCCACAGCTAGCTCCCCTCTCAGGTGGGTCTCAGTGCTCTGTCAGTTCGGAGTGAGAGACACCCCAAGCCTAGTAAAGGTATAGGAAGAGCGCGTGTTGCTCATGGATACAGTTGTTCATGTACACATCTTGAGCATCCCCACTCAGTGGAAGAAGGCATCTAGGGTGACATAGAATGAATCAGGCAGCGCTCTTGGCCTTACAACACCTTCCACTCCTTGCTCCCTGGACCTATACGCAGGTACCGAACACTAGGGGAAGTCAGAGAGCAGGGAGTGACAGATGGAAGGGAGAGTCGGGCGGATGACTCCACATTTGGACTCGATCCTCAAGGATGGTTAGGGTTTCAAGTGTCCGAGGCAGGGACAGAGAAGAGCACTTCCCACAGGGGCAGAATGGGTAAAAGCTGAGCACAGCACAGGGCTTCCAGGAAGAACCTCGATTTATCAGAACGGGAAGGGAAGAGCCTCAGGGGTTTAAACGTGAACGGAGAGCCGTAGGCCTGAGCTCTGCCCCTTTGGAGTGCAGCTGCTTTTGACCTTAGGGTTTTCCAGCTCCTGTTGCAGCAGCGCTGCATCCTCCTTCCCGCCCAGCCAAACCAAACGAGGCACCTACAAGGAGGTCGGGCTGTCATTCTTGCCACTAATCCTACATTATTTGTGATTAGGGGACTCTTTTAAAGTTGTATCTGTTTTGGAGCTCTCATGATGTGCTTAAAAATTAGAAATCAACTTCAGTATCAGGGTTTCTTCTTTTTCCCTAACTAAAATTCCTAAATTCCTTGTCAGTTGTACTTTTTTTCTGTCCAGGCCTGCTTCTTCATCTCAGGCACAGAATCTTTGAAGACTTCTTTTTCTCCTTCCCACTCACCAAACTTTATCACGCAGATGCCTCTGAGAAACAAAACCACACATTTCATGGCAGGCAGGCAGTCACACTGACCTGATCATCCACACATCACAGCAGCTTTATCCCAACCTAATGCTCCCTTGTCATCCGCATTCATGTCTTCTCATCTCAGCTCTGTACCAGCCGACTGATTCATTTGTACTTTGATCTGTGTTTGATGATCACACAGAATTCCACCAGCTAGTTATGTTCTGGGCTACTTAGTTTGTGATCTTCATATTCCCTTTTTTTTTTTGGCAGCAGCAGTGTTGCTAAACAAAGGCCTCTTTTATGACCATTCTTGCAGCCCCATAGTAATAATAATTGTAATAAGCGGCGACTTTCATCAAGTAGAGCTTTAACAGAAGATAGCAACTCTACAATATACAAGGCAACCTGCAAAGGAAATTATCCCATTTTACGGGAAGAGAAAACTGAGGCCTAGGGAGGCGAAGCTGTTTAAGGTCGCTGTAGTATAAGAGACAGGAGAGTTTCAAGTTCAGAACTGTGTCCTGGAGTTAGTGGGCGTGATGCGTACTCTGAATTCTGTCCTCGTCCACCTCCACTCCCCCAAGTGCCTCCAAACCAAAGTTTCTCAACCGCAGGGCGGATTGGGGTTACCAGGGAGGTGGTTTGAAATTCAGAACTCCCCCCATAAATCTGCCTCTGATGTGGTGGAGCCCTGGAATTTGTACAGTTGATGCAGAACCCTGATGTTATTGATGCAGGAGCTGGAGTTGAGAAATTGCCCTCCAAAGTGGAGAAACTTCAGTCTAATTGTCTAAAAATATCTTTTTTTCATTTACTGTTCATTGTATGCAAATTTTCACTGAGGGTAAGATAGTTTTGTATCCTGCTTTAGTCCTTATAAAATATCACTTTCCTCTTACTTTAAATGGCTGTGTTTCTGGATGAGATTGTTTTATCCCAAAGAGAATTGTATTTCTGATCATTTCAGATAGGTATCTTATTTTAATTTTTCTTTTTAACATTCACTTTATTGGTACATTTTAGGTATACAATATAATGACATTTATCATTGGAGATTTGCACCTTTACATGATATATCTTGATTCTTATTTTTTTCCCCTTCCCCTGTCCTCCCTTCAACCCCTCTGCCTCTTTATTTACAAAGGCTTTGTTCCCATTTTTTCATTTTCTCATGTTAATTCCATTCCCTTCTTTCCTTTCTCCCACCCCTCCCACTTCCCCTTCCCCTTTGCCCCTTTTCTTCCTATTTCACATTATCTATTATACCTTTCAATCTTTATTTACACTTTCAGTTGCTCACACCAGAGAAACTATTTGGTATTTACACATGTGTGTCCTACTTATTTCACTTAAGAGTATTATCTTCTTTTAATATGACATCACAATCCTTTTCACATCCAGGTTTTGTGTCTCAGTAGTGTTTTTTTATGGACTGTTACCAGGGCTAACATTAATACTGGAGATGTCAGAATTATATTCTAAATAATAATAAAATTTAAATAAAGACCCCAAAATGGAAAATATGCCTATAAATATTTCAAAAGATGTCTTTTGGTTGGGGGGATAAAAGGAAATGTTGAAGTATGGAGGAATCTCACAGGATACATCTTGTCAGTATATCCATCATCTTAAGAAATATTCAGGTAATCTTGCTTGTCAGAACTCCAACAAGGTCAGAGCACTGGATAAAAGATGAGTGTGGGTTTGATTTCCTTATGTAAATGTCTCCTCCAGGTGCGTCCATTATGCCAAGTGAAATGGTTCTAATAACCACTGCAGAGCCATCTAATTCAATTTTATTCTCCCTGATCAAAAAATGCAAAACAACCATTTGAAAGACAGAGATTAGCTCTATTTCAACCACTGAAGGAAATAGAAAGGTATTAAAGAGACGGGATCGCAGACAGAGCCTCATTACTGATCTCATCTCCTTTAAGTTTAATCTTGTGTACGGCACATAGAGTGAGATTTTGTATGAAAATATGCTTTTGTGAGGCCCAAGGAAAGGGAACAAATCATCCATATTCATCACCTCTTGGGTGAGGTGTATTCCTTCTCATTATTTTCAAATATTTGAGATCAACGCAAAGATTTGAGCTCATTTCTCACAAGATTGCAGATCATTGCCTCATAGCAAAGTTTCCTCAGGAGCTGCAGCTCTGCCCCCTTGCACGCTGAGATAAAATGTCTTATTTCACGTGAATGTCTTCATTCCATGGAACAAAACATAAACTGTCTCGTAGTCTATTTAGCCCTGTGTTGAGAAAATGAAAGAAGCTGAGTTTTGGACAATGCCCCGTTGAATGGAATAATGTCCTTTAGTCATACTTCCCCTCATGTTGATAGTCAATTTCTTTCCCTACCTGGCTCTTAAACCACCTTGCAAACTTTTATGAGATACTTTTTGTCCACTCTTCCCAGTTGTTAGGTCC